TTAACAAGACAACCTACCAATCTGTAAGATCTATCGCAAGTCTTAACTGAAATTTGGAATGACATTCCACAGGAAGAAATTAGGGCTTGCATTAACATGAGTAATCGACTGCAAGGGATAATTCAACAACGCGGTGGAAACACGCGTTATTAGAATTCAAACATACAGACACACAGATACTCACACACATATACACACAAAAAAAGGCTCTTGTCAGAGGCATATGATGTGCAAAATCTGTCCAGCAACCTCTCCGACCTGCACATCGGGTAATGCTAATGGCGGCGATATATGCCATAAATGCAAGGGTTTCTTTAAAGTTCTGTATCTTTGCAGAAAAAAATGGTAGCGGTTTTTCACATACTGGAAATTAAAGATAAAAGTTTGTACTTTATGCTGCTGCAAACAGTATCGCCCCAAAAAAATGTGGCAAGTCCATGCATTTCGTCAAACTTTGTAATTTTCAATATTGCAAACATGACCTCACATTTACGGTGTTATTGTGGTAGGGATGCATCAAATCTAAAATCAAACTACAGGGTCTTAAAGTAGAGATCTCAAGCTTTAATTTAAAAAAAAGAGCATAACTTTGCGATAATTTTTCACAGAGTTATCATCAGTCAAATTTGGCCAATTTTTGCCTAAATTTTTTCTATGCCATATTTCTTTTGAGCAGTGTATGTGCGATAAGGTGTTGGAAGCACACAAAAAACAATGTCCAAATTTAAAAATTTGGTAGTTTGAAAGCGTTGAAATTTAGAAACTCCAAAAGTTAATGAAATATCAAATTAAGAAATTAAACATACTTACCCATCACAACTTATGAACATACAAAAACATTTTATTATCATGTTATTGTAAATGACGAGAAACTAGTCACTGCTTCAAATTTGCTTTTATTACAAACAATTTCATTCATTTTAGTCGTTACTAAGAAAATGATATTTACAGCACTATAGAGGCTACTGAATTATTTCATTCGAATCTCTACCTTGCCAATTCTTGCATTTATACAGATATCAGCAGAGCGACCTTGATCTAGTCAGGTGTCGTCACGGCAATTTTGACTCGGTGAGAAGAAACCGCAGCGTCGACACGGTATCTGGCGATTCGTCGCGAAGATACGGTCGAGGGGTGTCTCTGGAAGACAGATGTCACCGTAATTCCGATCTTGACTTGGTGGGCACGTTGCCTAAACGAAAGCTGGACAGCAGAAACAGTGGAAAATCCTCTGAAACGAATTCCTCTTCTTCGCAACCCTGCATCGCTGATCCAACCGACAACGATTTGTTGATGCAGATCGTGCACAAACCTGATTGCGAGTTGGTCAGACATCGTCAGCAACTTAACAAAAGTATTGATCTGAAGTTAAGTAAACTTGCTGGTGGAGAACCCCAGGATCAAGGTTACGCGTCAGAACGTTCACCGGAAGATGAGCATCCTCCATCGATGCCTGGACAACCGTTCCCGAACATAACACCCGGTAAGTAGATTTATATCCTTTGTTTAATCTATGAAATTACCAAAGTATTTATTGTTTGAAATTACTAGTTATTTAATCAGCACTTTTGTAGTAAGCACTTGATTGAAAGTCTATTATATATTTTTCTTTGTTATAAAATAACATTTGTTACAGCAATGTTAGTTCACTGTAAATTAATCAATATTATGCTGCTTTTATGGTCACACGATAAAATTTAATTTTCATGTTTTAAACCTTATAAATCAATTTTGATTCCACATACAGGGTGTCCGCGCCAAAGTGTTACACCGTGATATCTCATGAACTATTGATGTCACGAAAAAGTGCTTATGTGGAAATTGCAGGGCAAAAGAGTCCCTATGTTTTGGCAGAAGTAAAATTTTTTTATTGCTATTAATGTAAAAAATATGATGGTGAAGTTTCGTTTTTTAAATGAAACTATATACATGTATTTTTGTTTCGATCAGGCAATAGTGCTTTTCAAGACGAATTCATCAAGGTTTTATGTACTTACCCGATTTTCATTAGTTTTCGAGATATAACGGTTACAAATTTAGTGATTTTCAGCACTGATGTCTCGGTTTGACGAGTAAGTCATTAAAGCGGTCTTATTGTTACGGTAAGTGCCGCAAGTTTGACTCTGCCTGCCGAAACAAATAGGCGGGGTCTATGGTCGAAATGGCAGATCCGAAGAGTAAGATATTCTAATTATATTGTATGTAATATATCACTATCATAATGTTTATGATAGTAACAATTTTAACAGTAATAATTTTACTGCGTAAAATTGGATATATAATATAATTAGAATATATATAATTATATATATATATAATCGATGCGGAAAACTTAAACCGTAATGAACAATTCTTTCCACGTTTCGTACTTTTTGGACATATCGTTGTGACCGTTGACCCTCGGCTATCGGTTTCGGTAGGCAGAATCAAACATGCGGCACTTACCACAACAATAAGACCGTTTTTATGACTTACTCGTCAAACCGAGACGTCACTGCCGAAAATCACTAAATTTGTAACCGTTATATCTTGAAAACTAATGAAAATCGGGTAAGTAAATAAAACCTTGATGAATTCGTCTTGAAAAGCACTATTGCCTGATCGGAAAAAATATATAGTTCCATTTAACACTAGATTTACGGAATCCGTCAAAATGACGGATAATAGGTCTATTTTAGATGACAGAATTTGTTAAGAAATTTTTGTAAAAATATCAACTTGCATCAACTTTCAGCAAAAGAATCAATGTTTTAGGCAGTCCACATATCATCTGCAATTTATTCATTTTTATACTTTAGGTAAATTTAAATAAAAGTGACCATCAAACGTCCGTAAATCTAGTGTTAAAAAACGAAACTTCACCATCATATCTTTTACATTAATAACAATAAAAAAATTTTGCTTCTGCCAAAATATAGGGACTCTTTTGCCCTGCAATTTCCATATAAGCACTTTTTCGTGACATCAATAGTTCATGAGATATCACGGTGTAACACGTTGGCGCGAACACCCTGTAGAAGAAAACTACTAAAACATTACGCAAGAAACGCTGTTTTACAAGCGAGTTAGTAATCGGACAGAAATAATAATTTTAATTGAGTAGCTATAGAGCTTTCGTTCTGATGTCTGAGATTTTCCTGCAGCGGAGCATAGCACTCTTCGATTGGAATTTCAGAGACAAGATCACTTGAACGAGGAGCCTGCTGTTCGCTCGTTACTAAACAACCCAGCGATCAAGTATATAAATAACTTATGCACGCTTTGGAGGATTACTCTAAAATATATTTAACAAATTAAAAAGAAGTGTTGATATGAATGGAGTTTTGGATGGGGTGATTTTATGTGTACAGTGCTAGTGCAGGTGTTAAAAAGGATATACGCATTTGTGACGATTATAAATGAACTATCAGTATTTTGAACATGTTTCTAAATATTCTAATTATATTGTATGTAATATATCACTATCATAATGTTTATGATAGTAACAATTTTAACAGTAATAATTTTACTGCGTAAAATTGGATATATAATATAATTAGAATATATATAATTATATATATATATAATCGATGCGGAAAACTTAAACCGTAATGAACAATTCTTTCCACGTTTCGTACTTTTTGGACATATCGTTGTGACCGTTGACCCTCGGCTATCGGTTTCGGTAGGCAGAATCAAACATGCGGCACTTACCACAACAATAAGACCGTTTTTATGACTTATTATTCAAATCGTGACTTTTCTGCTAAAAATCAGTAAATTTCCAAGCGTTATATCTCGAAAACTAATAATAACCAGGTAAATACATTAAACCTTAATGAATTCGTCTTGAAAAGCACTATCACTTGATCGAAAAAATATCTACAGTTCCATCTAAAAAACGAAATTTCATCATCATATCTTTTACATTAATAACATAAAACAAATTTTGTTTACGTCAAAACATAGAGCCCCTTTTACCCTGCAATTTCCATATAAACACTTTTTCGTGACATCAAGAGTTCATGAAATATTGCGCTGTCACACTTAGGTGTGCACATCCTGTATAATATATTCGATTTCTTAAATCTCTTACATTTGAAAATTGGAAAATTTATAAATTTAAAGATTTTCAAACAGTACAATAAAGAGACTGTAAATTTAACTAGCAATTTAGAATAACTAAAGTTTCCAGATTAATTTAATGATATTCAAATAACACTGTTAATCACACAAAATAAGAAAACGAGGACGTTCCTAAAATTGCTTACGTTCTATGTATTTGTTCACCTTTTGTAAGTTCTAAACAATATAAGTTATATATGAATGACAAATAACTTTTTAACTGACACCCAATAAAATCGGAGTTCGATGATGGAAAAGCCTCGGAAAGTCGCAGAAGCAAACATTACTACGCTTTCAGCAGCGAAGTATCCTATCATTGAAAACAGATTATCGGCGAAAAATTGAAGACGGATAGGATATAAAAGGGGGAAAAGGCATTGAGCCATCCACATATTCATTTTAACTGCTACAAAGAGCCGTAAATTCGACGTGCACTTCGCCGTCTATCAGCGACAAAAGATTCCCAGAAGATACCTGCACGTCTTATCCGCGAAATTCACTCGACAAAAGTGTGTCAAGCTCGAGCTCTTCTCGTCCTTACTCGACCATTGTGTTTCTACCCTACTCCACTTAATGTGACGCAGGCTAGACGGCAAAAAGCCCGCGAGTGCTGGAAAATGATAGAACTAAGGACCAAACGGCAACGAATGGGCAAGAAAAAAACGCCGAGTGAAAAGAATCTTGAGACACTTGTAACGCGATGAAACGTGCAGTATATACGAGTCAACTAACTTGTGCTCATTAAGTACGCGGTAAAAAAAATGTTTCTAAATGAAAACTTATTACTGAGCCAGTACTGCCGTTAGCATTTAGAGAAATCTTGTACTTAGATTTTAAAACTTTCAAATTTAATCATTTTTAAAACTGAAAAACTGGAAGTTTTGAATTTTCAAATTAATAAAAATGAATAAATTCAAGAATTTTCGAAATTTTTAATTTTTAAACGTTCAGTGCTGTATGAAAGAGCTCTACCTATATTTCCAATCGCTACAACTTTGTTAATATAAAGAGAATTAGCTGTACTGATTGGTGTCTATTATGAATCTAAGAATCGTCGAAAATAATATCAGTTTGTACACAAAATCCCTCTGACAGCAGCTCTAATACGAACCATTTTATATTAAAATAATATTATATTGTCATCGATTTGTTCACCCATATCATTATAATGCCTAAAATTTTATTTTCTATCTCGAATCGATCTTGATTTACCTTTTGAAACTGGAATTCAGTAGCTAAAATAACAAACGATGTAATATGAACAGGTTTTGTCATTCGAGTTCAATCCTTTTATAAATCTTATTCACTTTTCTGCAAATCACGTTCATCCTTTCATTTATAGATGACTAAAAACTAAATTGTACAATAGCATAAATAGTATAATGCCATTTTGTCATTTTCATTTTGGAATTTAAATACAAAATTAAGCATACGTTCCGATTAAATAAATTGCGGAGTACGTTCAAATGTATATCATTATAATTTATTTGTAAAAATTTTGAAAGAATAATTGGTGAGTGCAGTGTATGCATTACATTTTACTCGATTGCTTAGGAAACACGACCGATAATAATATTAATTGATAAGTTGGGATTTATTTATAACTTTCGGTGAATAGAAACGCGATTACAAATTAATGCTGAAACTCATGTGACTGTGTGAGCAATTTACAAACGAAATGCTTCTCTCACTACTGCAATAAATATTCACAGTATAATGTGGCATGCAGTAATTGGACGTTCAGTTATTTCAAATATTTTTTGCGAATTTTCACAGAGACTACAGCAGAAATTGAATATTGTTATTTAAAGAAGGTATACTTTATTATTTCTACAATTATATTCTCTAATGACGAATCACCATTGAGAAAGTTTTCGCAAAAAGTAATTTCTCTATAAGGAATATTTTCATAAATTCTTCAAATTGTGGAGAGTTAATGGATGTGATTAATCATTCTGTTGCTGCCAGCACTCCAATAATATAATAATAATTTTGATCGGATATTTTTTTGTCAAATTAGCTTAACAAAACCAATTGATAGAAGAACTTAAGTCGCAAAATGGTAAAATTGGTATGCTAAATGAAGAAGAGTAATTCGAAGTGTGAACGAGTATGACCTACAACAGGATTCATTTGAAGTACAGAATCCGTTTACACGTAAATGTCAAAACTGAAAATGCTCAATGGGAACAGAAGAGTCATGTTGTGTATGTTGACAGTTGCATCGTTATTTTACTCCATGACTTTTAACATTTCCATCCTTTACAGATTCAATGCTACACTGTTTCATTATTGACACTGTCATTGTATTTTTTTATAATAAAGTGATCTCTGCTTACTTTGCTTTTATCTTGTGATAGTTTTAAAGTTAAACTAAATTGAATTCTTGAGTGGAAGAGATTAGACAAAACAATATTTCATGAAAATTAAGATATATGTATTTATATAAGGATAAATCCGTGAAACAAATTGTTTGTTGTATTGTGTATTAAAAGTAGATAATCCTATAGAGAATTTGTATACAGCGTTTGTAAGTAATACAAATATTGTAATATTGTAAATTCATGTTTCAAAAACAAATTAAAATTGACAATTTCGCCAGTGTAAGATATGAATGAAAATGAAAGACACGTTACTCTAAGTCCGTTTTGGAAAATAATATATATTTTATAAAAGCGCATTCCTGAAGGCGAAGTCACGTCTTCGAAAGCTCTCTTAAGAATGTCCTCTTCCTATTCCGCAAGGTTTTCTAGTCCCCCGCGAAACTTGGGACCTCGGAGCCATGTACCCTTTGTCCCTGTTGTATTAGAGAGGGTAATTCTGAATTTGACCACACCAATTTGGTTATAATATCTTTTTTAAATAAATAACATAAAATGGTAAACAAATTTTGTTTCGTTTCCATTGTACTATACAGTAAATTATCTTGTATCCTGATAATTAGAAAAATTTTATTCATATTATTATTTACACTAAGGATCCTTAAAATAATATTATCGAAAAAATTCATCGTGCTTCATATCACTCTTATTTTAGTTGTTATTATTTCATTTTATAATATAACATTTTTATCCTTTCATGGCAATCATATTTTCTAACCTTAAGGGGGGCAATACCTTTAGACCGATGAAAATAGGCTAATTTTTGTGAATTTTTTTGTATAGGATATCTTTGTTTTGCGTTTTTGAAATTTCACGTATAATTTATTATAACTATTGCCTATTACAAAATATTTTTTGTTTTTAAATACATTTAAAAATGGCGGAATTATAACAGTCTTTCCTGGAAGTGTTTGGCGCGTCTCGTAAATCGGTGTGGGTTCTAGCCTTAGATCCATTGGTCTGAAACAAGTTTGCAGACAATGTTTCGAAAACTAACATTTACAGTTAGTAGATGAACCTCAGAAATGTGCAAAATGTGTAAAATTAAAGAAATGGCGCGCTTTTAAAGAAAAACTTCGAATTTTACTAAAAATTTTTGCAATATTTTGCAAAAAAAGGACTTTAATGTTCAATTTATTTCATAAATTTAGGTTCATATGTTAGATACTATTGTCATGGATATGTGCACAAAATTTGAGCGCGATTGATAAACTAGTTTTTGAGTTATCAGCCACACCAATTGTAAAAATGTAATTTTGAGAAAAACGCGTTTAAAGTTTCAGTCCTCTGTACTGAACGCGTGTATACCGCGGCGCTAATCGGCCATAAATTCAAAAGGGTTCGGTATTTCGGTTTAAAATTTGGAGACCATATTTTTAAGATGTTGCACTAACATTTTATGGAAAAAAAAATTTTCAATTTTTTAAGATTCTAAAGGTATTGCCCCCCTTAACTTCCTCTTCGAAAGATTTTGTTTTTATTATCGTTTTCTTCTAATTGTAAGACGACAAAAATGAAAAATTTTCTGTCTGAGCCTTTTAAGCCCGATCTTTTTACGGTGCTTAGCGTGAAATTCACATTTCTTTACGCTATAAAGACTATTTCTCATTTGTTGACAGTCACATCATTTCAGCTGTCCAATTCGTGTATAAACAATCATGTAATAAAAATACTTTATATAAGGTATAAGACAATGTCTTTTCATATTTTTTTAATAATTCATAAAATTAATTGACTTGATAATTGAAAACATTTAACTCCCTCAGCTACGTACATTTTCCAACATCGATCGAGAACGTGTAAGAATGACAAAGTGATATGAAAAATAAAAGAACAAAAAGTAAGCAGAAGCGGTAGAAGGGATCCAAAAAACAGATTGGAAAGTCAACAAAGTTATTGAGTAACGTTAAAGGGACGCCTTTCCATAGAATCAAGGGATGAAAGAACTTTCGCGAGGAAGAAGTCAAATAATGCGGTGAATAGAAAGAACCCCGGGGCAAAGGAGAATGAAGGAAAATTAAAGGAGTGATTGTAAAGGGAGATAAGAAGTTATTTGAGAGATACGCAAGAATGATTGTTAAAATGAGAGTGGAAGAAAGCAATGATAGGGCAAATACATTACACCGGAACGTTATTAAAGCATGTGCATTTGGTTGCAGGGAATGCAAAATAAATAAGAAAGAATATGCGAACTAAAAATTAGGACGAAACAAGAGGAAGTTTGAAGTAATTACTTTGATAGGGATTCACTGACATAACTAAGATTTTTGTGTGGAGGAAAATAACCTACATCATAAAGGGTGCCGCTACTAACATTTTAACGACCGCACGTCTACGTAGTCAAACGTCGCCAGGGACCGGCAGTATTTTTGAAGAATTAATTTAAAAGAACTTTATTAAATTCACGAAAAAGTTAACATAAAACAAAAAACGGCAATAATTTAACAACAAATTTAATATTTCGTAGAGCGCCGACATTTGCTCCATAATTTACATGGTACACCACTGTAGTGTAAAATGTAAAATTAAAAATAGGCAATAATTACCTAAAATCAAAGACGTGGCGATGAAATACGAAGCCAATAGCAATATCCACACTTGTTTACATTCATAAACTATCACACAGAAAGTGTGGCACTGGACAACAACCTTCGGCGGTAGCATCACACACATGTTGTGTGAGCGGTCGTTAACGGTTGTTCCGGCTATCACACACGTGTTGTGTGAGCGGTCGTTAAAGTGTTAATACCAGACCCACCCTAACTTCCAATTAGTTAAACCAAGTAAGAAATTCCAGTAAATATTCGATATGTGCACAAATGATCTGTACGATATGTGCACCAAAGTTATCCCTACCACTGGGGGGAAGACCCCTTCAGACGCCGTGAAGCTCGGTCACCGAGAAATGTAACATGATCCGGGGTCGGGTATATCCGTGAAGCAATACATATACAAATATAAAACTTTTTTATTTTTGATTTTTCCGAGATCCAACTTTTACCAATAGATTCTTTACATTTTTCTGATTAAAAGAAAACCAAACACGACATAATTTGGGCTATATTTACTGGTTTAATTGACGATAAAAGTCTCTCACGTAGAAGAGGATAGCGAGTCAAAAAGAAAGAGATGCTACGATCGTGGCAGGGCAAAGATCAAAAGTCTGTTCAACATGTACTATTAGTCTAAATTATTTAGTGTTTAGTCTTATTTTAATCAGAAAAATATGAAGAATCTATTAGTAAAAGTTGGATAACGAAAAAATGGAAAATAAAGAAGTTTTACTCTTGCATTAGTATTATCCCTCACTATGTTTCCGTTTGTTTACATTCGGTATCCTTCGCTCGCTATCCTTTTCTACGTTCGGCAAAACATCAATCAATGTAGGAACTGTACGATATCTGCACCAGTTCAGACCCGAGAATGGTGCACATATCGAATATTTACTGTACTACTGAAGCAAGATAAATTTATGAAATAAAGAATATCAATGTTGAATGAAAAAGCTGTATAAATTTATACTATGTTTGACATTTTGCTGTAAGGAATATTATTTATTTCTCTGATTTATGATTAAATCTACTCAATCGTTTATTAAGACGTTTTATTATAGTGATAGAAAAATTTAGTTGTTTTGAGACTTTTGTGAATAAATACAATATGTGCTGTAATAAACTCTTATAATATATTAATAATAGTATTACCATTGGTGTTACCACTGTGGCCAAAATGATTTGCTTCAGATCTCATATTTTAATTGCATGTGCTACTTTATGTTTTTCTTATTTATTAATTTTTCTATATTATTTTCAATTTAAAAATAAATATACGTTGAATACCGGCTGTATTATTGTTAACTAAATACACTAGTACTGATAAGTAGTATATAAATTTATTAAAATAAAGAAATAAAAATTATATGTAAAATAAAATAATGCGCTAAAAAATAAAATAGCAAATCTAAGCGTTCACTAATTAACAATTCTTACTACGGTATACATCGGAATTAAAATACAATAATGTCTGTAAATAATTAAGCTGTAACGAAAGCATCTTAAATGGGAAATATTTTTTAATAAACCAGTTTCTATACTGAAATCATATTTTAAACAAAATTAAATTTGAATAAGAGGTTTTACAAATTCATAGACATAATTCATATGTTTAATCTACAAATGTTTATAAAGAAATTATAAATGGACCAATTTTATTTTAATTTATCCCCGTGCACTTTTTTTCATGAAAACCGTTTATTATCAAGTGCCAATTTATCTACCTGAAATATTATAACTAATTAAATCATAACATGTCTCACACCTAAAATTTAAAATTCTTCTCAGCTTTTATATACTGATATATTTCCATGAAAAAAGAGAACATTATAATGAATTAAAAAAGTTAATTTCAAACTGCTCAAATTCATTACGCAATTTATGATCAAGTAGTATGGCGGTATTGATATGACCTAAATTATGCTTTCGCCGATTGCGATCAATTATTGGAGTGACTTAAATCGCTTTCAACTCTTAAAACTTGCACCACAAACTTTCTATACTTCCCGGACTCCAAATATTGAACTTGGAATAAAATGCGAAAACGTTGAACTACAAAAAACTGAAAACGTATTTTATGCTTTATTTTTGCGATTGATTCAGCATTGCACAGTTTCGTAATATACATGTCTCATGTAACTCTACAGGCCGCATTTCTTTCAATTCCAATTTCTACTTCAATTTCAATTTGAAATTAATTTCTTATGATTTCCTAATTCATAGAAAACGTAACATATTGTTTAGGATACATCAAGGTTTTGTTTCCAGAAAATGCAAGGAAATACATCGACATATACGCAACAAACTTATCATGA